CGTTTATAACATACGATTTTTATTTGCAAAAAACGATAAATAAATTGACGGTCAAGCAATAAGGTAAATATAACCGTATCACCGGATAAGGTTATATTTTGTTCTACTGCGTACTTCAGTCTTCGGCAAACAGAAATTAACGTTTATTTTTGCATAACTAAATGCCAGTAGCCTAGAGCGTTTATTCGGGAATCATCGGGCGTGAAGGGCGAGTTTACAAGCTTAAGCCTGAGAGAATTGCTAACATCTACCCTAACAAGAGATTATCGTTGCTGAATCTACCACCCACCTGCGACCCACTGAGCAGAGCCCACAAGAAACTCACTGGGTTGTGTTTCCGAGAGTCGTGGACACATATAATAAGTAAGTCGTCCGTGGTGGCCACAAAAACTGTAAGCTGTCATCAAACTCTTTCCGTTTGAGCTTGTGAGCTCGCCTATCCGTCCGCGAGTGGTTGGAATAGCCCCTTAAGTTGCCAACGATTATTTAGAGGGGAAAAATCAATCTCACGACACAAATCTTTATCTTTAAATATAAAAATGAATTGCTGTTCGTTAGTCTCGCTAAAACTCGAGAACAGCTGGACTGATTTGGCTAATTTTGGTCTTGAATTATTTGTGGAAGTCCAGAGAAGGTTTAAAAAGTAGATAAATATGAAAATGCTCGGAATTAAATTACAATAACAATTTTGTTTTTTCTTTTATGTGGCCTCCGTCGGACGGATTCCTTTTGTTTTTTTTAAAGTTTATTTTATACAAAAGTTTAGGTCTTTTGTTTATCGATTGAGGCACTACGAAGTCTGTCGGGTCAGCTAATATAATATATAGTTCTTCTGTGCGTGTTCTTGTCACTGAACTCCTCCTAAGCTGGACCGATTTGAATGAAAATTTCTATTTACCTTCAGGTGGATTCAAGAATGGTTTAGATTTACAAATCAGCCCGGTAGATGGCGCTGCAGTCGGTATCTTGGTCATTTATCTTTTCTAGAAATAATTGATATGGCAAAACAACGTTTGCCGGGCCAGCTAGTATAAGTAGATAAATAAAAAATCGTATCGTGCGGTGTAAATTTCGTAATACCGTCACCCCGACTCCGGTTTAGCGTTAAAATGATTTAGTCCGAGACATGTCCACTGAAATTTATGGATGTACATCCAAAAATACGTAACGCCGTTTCAAATGAGCCACGACCGCAAGCCCGCGCTTAAAGAATAGGGCTCAAGTTAATTGGATCGTTCTGTTTTTCAACCGTTTACACAGCTCGTCAGTTCGTAAATGTATTTCGGGGCCGTTTAACCATTAAGGTTTTATTTTCGTAGCAATTAGAGGTCGAAATTTGACTAAGGATGAAACGTGCTTAGTAACCGATCGCCTCTTTGTAATTGGATTTCAAAAATTTAGTAATAGAAGGATATTTTTATTAATTGCAACATTTTTGTTTTTGGTAACTTTTCGAACAAATTTCGAATTTTAGTTTTTTTTTTTTCAGTACGGCCATCGGCTTTTTGCCAAGTTTATAAATATTCTCAATTATATTTAAACCTCATATAATATATACTACAGTAGTTTATACATAAATAGGGCTGACACTTGAGTCGATGCCTTTGCGATGTGGTGCTGGAGGAAAACGCTGTGGATTCCGTAAAGGGCACATCAAACCAATACCATAGCTCTGAATCGAAACAAAACTTTCTAGCTACTGCCTCAAGCGAATCCTAAAGTACTTTGGGCACATTGTCAGGAAAAACGAAGACTATTTTGAAGATACTAATCTATCCTAATGATCACAGGCAAAGTCGAAGGCAGGAAAGAAAGAAGGAAATCAGGGAGACGAAGGAGGACCAGTCTGCTTAGTGCGAGTTTTTTAACGTTTTCGATAGCGTAAAAGCTAACTCAATTTGTTTGGAGTTGGAACGTTTGGCTACGTTTGCCACTAGGAGCTCTGTTCCAATTGCATACAAATTTGTGTTAACTCTTACGCTATCGAGAACGTTAAAAAACTCGCCTTAAGCACAAAAAAACAAAATGTGTGCAATTCGCACGTGGTAGAAGTGAAACCTTCCAAAATTAAAATACAATTATCCTAAACGTCTAAAGTATATGTAAAATTTTGTCATTAGTAAATAATTGTAAGGTAGCGCCCTCTGTGAATTGATATTTTAATTTCACGTATAATCCTAAATTAAAATTCACTACAAGAGCTTTCATACACACGTTAGTATTAAAAAATCTCACAGATGGCGCTGTATTAAATAGTATGTATATTTCTGTCTCATTCTTTGCTGGCTTCATCCTACACATTTTTGTATTTGTGTCTCTTACCTGTCGTTTTTTCCGTTGCATCCGGTTTGAAATCACAACGATTCTAAAGAAGTTTTCACTTCAATAATCCACACTTGAATTCACCGTCAACGATTATATCCAAATAGCGGAAGGCTAGACTAACTTATTAAAAACACTAATAACTTCGCCCCCCCGCAGCCCGCATTAACTTGAAACCCTTTCAAGTTATTCAATCCCGTTTTTGCAGGATAGCCGTCGGAGCACCATGGTTTCTAAGGAACGTGGATATCCATGATGACCTGGAGCTTGACTCAGTCAGTAAGTATCTACAGTCGGTATCATTGCGCCACTTTGAGAAGGCGGCATGGCATGAAAACCCTCCTGTCGTGGCCGCCGGTAATTACATACCCGATCCTGTGGACCGAATGGTAAACAGTCGACGTCGCCCTAAGCACGTCATTGCGGATCCTCCCGATCCATTAACGGTGCTTAGGTACCTCAAGCACAGGTCACCGTCCTCGCCGAACCCGTCGCTTGCGACGAAGGGCTCGACGAGTAAGTAAGCTCGACCGCACTGCTCTTGCTAGGGCCAGTGTTAGCAACACTTCTGGTTTGAGCCCCGTGAACTCACCTACACGTCAATCAGAAGCTAAGATAGCTTCTCAAGGCTATCAACATAGGTAGGGAAAAATAAAATAAAAAATTCCGCTATAAATGTATTCCCGCCAAAACATCGAGTTATTGATTAACCTCCAATACAAGCTTTGGAAATAATAAACGTTTTTAATTAAATCTACCACCTGTCAATACCGATGAAAATCGATCAAATAAAAAGTTTCTAGAGGTACCTAGTGTACTGTGGGTAGATTTACTTTTTTAGAGACTTAAATCTTTTATTGTATTTACATATTCAAATTAATTAAGTCGGTCACGCATCTAATTTTAAGACATTTGATAGCAAATGCAGGAAATCTTTTGTAATTCGATTCGGCCGCATCAAAAGATTACTGACGTGTACTGCTAAGTAGGGATGCATCGCGTTGCTTTTAAGTTCCATAAAATCGATTTTTGGATGAGATACTTAGATCATCGATCATTGTGTGTCAGAGATTTTGGGCGAATAAGCTTAGGGTATCTGGCTTAAATGTACCACATGTGATGCTGACATCCATCGCAAATTTAGAATACAGGTTATCCTACACAGGTCTGGTTGAGCCGGAATGTACTAATAAGGCGATATCCTTTACTGTCAGCGTTACTAACAAATTGGACGAATGTGAATATAAAATTGTGAAAAATCGATAATAAATCGATTTCGTTTTACTCATAGGGCATCCCTTTTTTCGAGAGTCTATTTTAGTGACCAGACCGCCAGATGTCGATTAGAAATGCAAAAAAGTTTTGTTTTTTTTCTTCACTATTTACTTCATTGGCTACGTGTTTATTTTTAGCCGACTTTAAAAAAGGAGGAGGATCGCGACTGTATTTTTTTTTACGTTTGTTGCCTCATATATTTTGACTGGTTGAATCGATTTTGATGATTCTTTTTTTATTAGAAAGCTGACGCTTCCCGTGTGGTCCCATTTCAATTTAGTCCAGTTCTGATAGCGGTATCCATGAGAAAACCATATAAGTCTTAAATTTGATTTAAGTACGTGTGCGACAAATAGATGAATAACTCAATATCACGACAACCGATTTCAATGATTGTTGTTTTTAGTGTAGGTTTATTAATTGGTTTTGGAATATCTTTTTTTTTCTATTTGAAGTCCGTTTTTGTTAAAGCATGTCTATTTACAATATACATACAAATGTATATTGTATTGGTAAGTTCTTAACTTTTATGTTTGTTCTTCGTGTGTACCCGATCTGAACATAAATTCTAAGTAGATGTTCTATGTGATTGTTTTTTTTTTATTACTTAGAAATTCGGGCGGTTGGGTTAGGTGGACGGGGCATCCGTCGAGTCGGGGGCCGGAGTGAGCCCTTCCTCTAGCTCTGACCCGTGTGAAGAGGCAGTCTCCTCTCGCTGACGGTCACTTGAGGACCTAACCCGTGACTGGGAGAACCATCTAGACAGTCCGTAGACCGGTGGTTGGGGTGAAACTAAGTCTCCAGCATAGCGCGCCCAGATTGCAGCTGATGCGATATCCACGGTAACAATTTTGAGCCCAGCGGAATGGCAATTGTATGTAATGAAGCGATTTTTTATTATGTACAGAATTTAATGAAAGCTCTCTTGAAACCGATTTCTAGACTCTTTTTCCCTGAAGAAGAGTCTAGAAATCGGTGATACCTACACCTGCCCTGATAAAACTGGAAAGGCCTCGGGGCCACCAGTAATCTCTCAAACATAAAAAGACGGATTTAAGCGTATGTCAATATTATTCCTTTTTGTTTCTTAGCGTCTTTAAGAAGGTGGAAAAATGAAATGAAATTACCGTAGTGACTTCTCAATTTTTTAAAATAGTATATTGACTTCTATTTTTTTTAGCGTCGCTGTACTGAATGATCATTTAATTTCATCTAATCAAACACATATACAATATAATATAATATCGCATCATTTAATACCATTCAATTTCATTTAATTTCGTACGAATTTAAATTACTTTACATACAAATAGTGGTGGAATCGGTTTTTGTTCCGAAGTTTCCTGTATTTCCTTTGCCTATCCAACTGACGAAATAAACAAAATGTTCAAAATGTCAAAAACTTAATTTTTATCCGGCATCGTTTGTTTTCTCGTAAATTTTTAAAGCAATAATAGAAATGGCTGCTCGTAATATAATAAAATTAGGTGCGTTAGAAGCTAAAAACACTGCTTTTCTATTATGTGACATTCAAGAGACCTTCAGGCCTCACGTAAAGCATTTTGGAGAGGTTGTAAAAGTTGCTAATAAGATGGTATGTTGTGTTTACTGATTAAATCGTTATGTAACTTCGTGATAAGAAAATAATAAAAGCATTAAATATGTTTTCGTGCAAATAAATAAAGCGGTTACTTGGAACCGCTCACTAAAACCGGTACGATATCAGAGTTGGTAAGTTTTGCGAGTATGTAAGTAGGTATGTTTTGTTAGATATTGTTTTGAGTTCTAATTGAAAGACGGCCTTTGACCGGTCACGTGGAAAAAGCCGAAAGTGCCATAAATTATTATCATAAGGCCGTTTTTTAGCTCAAATTTCTGAGTACTAAAACTAGAAAAAACTATATACTATCGTTACTTTCGCTTATATCCTGGGACAGGGCAATTCTTAAATTGATGATACTTTAGGTACCTCATTTTACGATATATTAAAAGAAGACGAGTTCAATATCAGAATATCAAATTCAGTATCGACAATATAAAAATTTCAGCATCCATATTTACAAAGAAAAGTTTATGGGACTTTATACAAATATCCACAAAAAATACTTCAGAGATGATTGACGATAATGTTGATGGTAATCCACTTAAAAAACTTACACTAAGGCATATACAAAATTGACACTAAAAATTTATTGCCAAATGAAAAATAAATATTAATTTATCAATTATTTTGCTGGAAGTACTTTCTACTGTCAACAGTTCTTATTTTACTCAAGTATATCTTTATACCAGCTAATGAAGCTATTGAAGGTTCATTGCTTATATCGCATTGAATGACTTATAATGATTACAGAGTACACTATGGGTTTTATTTTCTTGCATTAATGATGGAAAAAGTTCTTGGCACACCTGATAAATTTATTAATGGAGCTCATAGTCTTCACAAAGTAAATACTGTCTTCCACCTTGAAAATATTGTACAACAGTTTTCCCACACTTTACAAATCTGCATGACGGCTTCATGAAACTTAAACAATCCGTAAAATCAAAGAAAGATAGTTGAAAGTAGTCTAGATAGATAAATACTTTGTTCTTGATGTTTAAAAAAAATTATATCTTAAATTCTAGTTAGAGGCAGCTAAACATTTCAAAATACCAGTCTACGTGTCCGAGCAGTACCCCAAAGGTCTCGGTCACACGACTAAGGACATCAAATTAGAAGACGCAGCTTTAGTATACGAAAAGACCAAGTTTTCGATGTACACCCCTGAGTTGCAAGAACGCTTGAAGAAGGACGTTCCTGAATTGGGCTCCATTGTCATGTTTGGAATTGAGGTAACAATTTTAAATTTATTACCATCTAAATGAAATGTATTATTACAAATTGTCATCATCTTCATAATGTACTACAGTTGAATATCATATTAAATCTTAATTCTATCATCAGTTCTAAAAGCAGTCAGTTTTTAATAGAATTTCGATTCTGTTAACATGGTAAAATATTAAGAAAATTAGCCAATAATAATGAAATCAAATGATCTGAAGCGAAAACTTTTTTTTTTATTGCTTAGATGGGTGGACGAGCTCACAGCCCACCTGGTGTAAAGTGGTTACTGGAGCCCATAGACATCCACAACGCAAATGCGCCACCCTCCTTGAGATATAAGTTCTTAGGTCTCAAGTAAGTTTCAACGGCTGCCCCACCCTTCAAACCGAAACGCATTACTGCTTCACTCCAGAAATAGGCAGGGTAGTGGTACCCATCCGCGCGGACTCACAAGAGGTCCTACCACCAGTAATTACGCAAATTATAATTTTGCGGGTTTCATTTTTATTACACGATGTTATTCCTTCACCGTGGAAATCAATTGTGAGCATTTGTTGAGTACGTATTTCATTATAATAATTGGTACCCGCCTGAGATTCGAACACCGGTGCATCGCTCAACACGAATGCACCGGACGTCTTATCCGTTAGGCCACGACGACTTCATATTATGATTTACTGCATAAACATTCTATGAGTATTCTTTGAGAGTTTTGAGTTATCCTAGATTAAACATGTTCTTCTAAAAGAGAATATGGGATGGACAGATTTACGCCACTGATCATGCATTTGTATATTCGTAATGGGCTAAAGTTGAATAGATGTGTTTATTTGTGTTAAAGATACACCCTATTATTACTAATATAATGTTTTCATTGTTTGTATATTACAGGCTCATGTGTGTATAGAGCAAACAGTCATTGATTTGTTGAGTCGAGATATTGCAGTACATGTGCTAGCTGACGGTGTCTCCTCAAGATCTCTGATGGACAGAGGATTGGCTCTTCAGGTACAACTTGAACACATTATTTTAAATAATTACACTTTATGGCTTATCACAAAACCGTACCTTTCAGCCAACAAGTCTCTGTTTATCTATATTTTAAAGCAGATAATTCAAAATGACTGAAATCTGACTAGATACTTGTACACTAAACTAAAAAATAGGAGATACACAATAAGGCGGTTATTCTGATTAATCTAAGAATCTAACAGCATAGAGTAACTAAATCAAAGAACAAAATTTGCAAGATGAAAAAAAAACCAATCAATTATATTATAAATTTTAATGTTACATATGCCTTGTATTGGGTTCTTAAGATTTCTCTTGATTTTTTTAGATTTAGTTCCTGTACATTGTCCTGATCCACTTAAAAATGTCTTAATAATTCAATTTAATTTCCAAAAACGTTTTTTTTTTTTTTTTTTTTATTGCTTAGATGGGTGGACGAGCTCACAGCCCACCTGATGTTAAGTGGTTACTGGAGCCCATAGACATCTACAACGTAGACGCGCCACCCACCTTGAGATACAAGTTCTAAAGTCTCAGCATAGTTACAACGGCTACCCCACCCTTCAAACCGAAACGCATTACTGCTTCACGGCAGAAATAAGCAGGGCGGTGGTACCTATCCGCGCGGACTCACAAGAGGTCCTACCACCAGTAATTACGCAAATTATAATTTTGCGGGTTTGATTTTTATTACACGATGTTATTCCTTCACCGTGGAAGTCAATCGTGAGCATTTGTTGAGTACATATTTCATTAGAAAAATTGGTACCCGCCAGCGGGATTCGAACACCGGTGCATCGCTTCAACACGAATGCACCGGACGTCTTATCCTTTAGGCCACGACGACAATTTGATGCAATATTTAAAAATTTAAGTAGCATATTTTTCGAACATTAAAAGATACTGTATAGCCAATACAAAAATTCTATAAATCTTAACCTATCGCTGAGAATTTCATTTTCTAAATAATTCAACTTGATTATTTTTGATTTACAGCGAATGCAATCAATAGGCTGTTTCATAACAACGTCCGAGAACATTCTGTTTAAATTATTGAAGGACAAAAATAGTCCTGAATTTAAACCGATCTCTAAATTGAATAAGGAACCGACGGTTGATACGCTTGGTTACGACACGTTAGCCAAATTATAAAAAAAAAAGTACTCAAATATGATTTTGAAACACAAGCATTTTTTTTAAATTCATATACATAAATAAATAGTTGTCGGACAGACTGAGTTGATGGCTCTGAAGATATCAAGACTGTACAAATGTGGTTGTGAATATAACTAACATAGATAAATTTAATTTTGTAGCTTTTTTCATTCATGAAAATTCTTGTTTTTGTATATTTTTAATAAAATAAATGCGTCTTTTGACATTGGCTGTTTCTTTTCTCGTTCCAGCGTCTCCAGTCCATCGGCTGTTTCGTAGGTACTTCAGAGAACGTTCTCTTTAAGCTTTTGAAAGACAAAAATCATCCTGCCTTCAAGCAAATTTCTAAATTAAACGTGACCCCCGCCGCAAACGAATTTGGCGGTAGTCAGTAAAAATTATAATAGTTTTGTGAGGAAATTAGCGATTTCTTTAAAAAATAATATGTAAAAATCGCACCTAATTATTTTAGGTTATTTTTAAGGTTAACAGTGATCGAAGGAACAGATCAAAGCGTTTGAAAAAAAAATTTATGACAGCAGCTGTCAACGTCAATTCTATCAAATAAAACTGAACTTGTAAATATATTTATTTTTAATGGAATATTAAATAAATGAACATTTTTTTATATGTATCGTGCTTAAGTGTTTTTATTCATTTCAATAAGGACCATTTAAGTTGCTCCCTTGCTGATTGCAATACCTGCAAAAGAAAAAAGAAACATAAATAAACAATACTTGATTATATTTATTTAACACGTTGACTAAAGGATCCGGTCTTAGAAACCAAGTTTAATCGTAAAATACATTATATTAATAAACATAAGTGTTAATATTCACATATTAATTAATCATGTTTTGCTTATGCGTTTAATAAAAGTTTTCTGTTCAAATGGCATGATTATGCCCTTTATTAAGGATAATAAAGGGATATCAGGATAATCAGGAGATTATCGTGATTTTTCTTCTCTTGACAAACGACAACTATTCTGATTTACGCTGTTAAGCTATGAGCTTTGTACGTAGTCTGAGATACTAGTATTTCACTTTGAGAAAACGGCACGACACGAAAACCCTCTTATCGTGACCGCCGGTAATTACATACCCGATCCTGTGGACCGAAAGTTAAACAGTTGAGGTCGCCCTAAACACGTCATTACGGATCCTCCCGATCCATTAACAGTGCTTTCAGGTACCTCAAGCACCGGTCACCGTCCTCGCCGAACCCGTCGCCAGCGACCAAGGGCTCGACAAGTAAATTAATCCATAGACACAGCCCACTGAGTTTCTTGCCGAATCTTCTCATCGGGTCGCGTTTCCGATCCGGTGGTAGATTCTGCAAAGCACTGCTCTTGCTAGGGCCAGTGTTAGCAATACTCCCGGTTTGAGCCACCTGAGTTCACCTACACGTCAAGGTGAAGCTCAAATATCAGCATAGGTAGGAAAAAGGAAAAAAAAACTAGTATTTAACGTTCAGTGCGGCTAAAATAACCTATGAGGTATCTTGTACGAGTGGCTGTAAACGTATGTATATCTATATAATAGGGGTTAAAGTATGAAATTGCCGTTTTATTGTAATATATACTTCGAATTGACATAGAACCTTCATGGTTAGAGATTTTTGAGTAAAACTTTTTTCAAATGGTTCCTATGAGGTTCCTCTTTTAAAAGATGTGCAACATTCGATTATCGACTTTCAGATGTTTTTTTTTTATTCAGCTTAGGCAACAAAGATGGATACTTTGAAAATTTGAGTGATTTTTGAATACGAGTTCCGACGCGGAACTAATGCTGCAGAAACAGCTCGCAATATCAATGTTGCGTTTGGAGAGAGGACTGCTAATGAACGCACCGCGCGATTTCGTGATAGAAAATTTGATTTGAAGAACGAACAGCGTGGAAGACATGTGACAAGACACACATGTGAATTTTTTTTTTCAATTTTTTTTTCTTTATTAACACCTGCGATCAGTCGCCAAGACTATAATCAGGTGAGTTGTGATTTAACAATTAGTTTGGAGGGACAGAGCCAATGCTCCGTCTCGCCTTAGTAGGGTAGCACGTTGGCTCTCTTGAGTCTTCGAATCGGATTTGGCTGCAATAGTAAGCTGGACAACGGGTTTGGGTGAGATGTCAAGCGGTTCTTATAGTTGGCTGAGTATCGTTTAACTTCATCCAAGACGGTTGGGATGTCCGGGTACTCGTGGATTTCAGAATTTCGAGTATACCAAGGCGCCGACGAGAGTACCCTCAGGATACTGTTTTGAGCTCTCTGGAGGCACATAATGTTGAATTTGCTGGCTGTCGACCACAGTTGGATTCCATACGTCCAGATCGGTTTTATTATTGAGCAATACACCCGTAGCTTGTTGGATAGGGATAAGGCAGCCTGTCTACCGAGAAGCCAGAGTAGGTTTTTAAATGTAATGTTAATTTCGTTACGTTTCGTTTTTATGTGGTCTTTCCATGTCATCCTTCGGTCCAATCGGTGAATAACAATGAATTGAAAGAGATGATGGAAGCCGATCCGAGCAAAACTACCCAGGAATTAGCGGTATGGTTTAACGTCACCTTATCAAGAATATTGACTCGTTTGTGTCAAATCAATAAAATAAAAAAATGTGAAAAGTGGGTGCCTCATGATTTAACTGATCTGCAGAAAGAAATGCGTGATGAACTTATATTGCCTTGTTGAGTCGATACAGAAATCAAGGAATATTGGATCGATCCTAAAGCTTACCAATAAAAAGGTCACGGTAACTGTTTGGTGGTCTCAGCATGGTGTTATTCACTATAGCTTTCTCCGATCTGATCAAGCAATAACGGCAGATATCTACTGTGCCGAAATCATCGACTCATGAATCGATCTTCACCATTATTGGTCATGATAACGTGAGACCTCATCATACAGCAGAAGAAACCGTTTTAACTCTACAGGAGCTGCAATTAGAAACCATTCGTCACCCTCCGTATTCGCCGGATCTTGTTCCGAGGGATTACCATTTTTACTATAATTACTCAACAATCGTGATAAAAATCGGCCCTCCTCTCCGAGCCGGTCTGCGTGAACGGACCCTTATACTAACTAGAACCGCTTTGCTCATTCACGGTGCGTTTCCATTGATCCTTTATGCCACGTACCGTCCGGCAATAAAAGAATTTCCCTACATGGTGATTCCTGGGCGTTATGAACTTCGTCCTTCTTCAAACAAGGCTTGAAGAGTCCTTAGCATTATCCATGAGCGACGGTTGATATTCATTCACCTTCAGATCGGACGTGTGCTCATCTGAGTGGCTTTCTTTCCCTACGTATTGGCTGGTAACCTAAAAGGCTATTCTAGCTAAGCCCAGACGGGTAGGTCAGCTCACGGGCTGAACCTGAGAGAATTGAATTGAGAATTTGCTAGCACGAGCCCTAGCAAGAACAGTTCTCCGCTGAATCTACCACCGGATCGGAATCGCGACCCACTGAGAAGATCCGGCGAGACACTCAGTGGGCTGTAAGAGTCTGCGTGTAATATCAATCAAAAAACACCACTTGTAGATACTCGCAGACAATTATCCTTGCTTTTAAATTGCAACAAAGCGGTCTTAAGTCAAAGCTTTCGTCATCGTATTGATCAGCTTTCTTCAATCCCTATCAGACAGACAAGTTCAGTTAAATGGTCTTCAGATGCTATAGGTAAAGCAGCATAGGATATATGGAATAGACTGGAAGATCATGACAAAAAGAACGGCTGCTATCAATCATCGTGCAGGCACCATCATTGCAACTCAAGAATTATTATTATGAATTCGTATTTTTTATTACTTAGATGGATGTGCTCACGGCCCACCTGGTGTTAAGTGATTACCGGAGCCCATAGACATCTACAATGTAAGAGTTCTAAGGTCTCAGTACAGTACAGTTTTTTAATTGTATTTAACTGAATCGCCCGCCGCTTCTTCCGCGAGATGGTGCACTCGCAGAAGTCGAGCATAACCTTCCAGGACTCGTCGCCGCCAAGCATCGACACCACGACGCCAGGCAGCGACAAGTCCGGACCTGGACACGGCGGAGCATACGCTCGCTGTCTGCTCCGTTTGGGAGGTGCAACGCCGTGAACTGGTCGTGTACACAATGGTGGCACCTCGTCGTCAGCTCAGCTCCTATCCGGTGCAAGCATTTCCCGAAGCATCCGTGCCCGGTCAAGACCTGCACCAGACGAAAGGCGAGGCGTCCTCCGCCACGATTCACCCAGTCATCAAAGACCGGGTAGACCCCACGTGGGGTTGGGCAACCGTCTCGACCACGACATATATGTATACTTGGGTATTCTTAAGATATATTTGTATCTTTTGGTATACAGGTAACCCTTCTATAAAACGGTAGATACGTTCCTACAAAGTCCCGTGTTGTGCGAAACCGTGTTATACCTATGAGACTAGAAGACAGTACAAAAACTTAAGAAATTTTATTGAACGTAACATTTCAACTGTGCCTGTATGTTTTCTTACCCATTAAACATAAAAACTAGCTCGCAGTGCCTTTTTCAAATAAGCAGTAACCATTTCGGTTAATCCCTCCATATAGTTATTGTGTCATCATAGTCCATAATGTAATTTTCTAAATAATTTTAAACAAAAATCTCGTTATCGTGTTGTAGAAGTATTGTGTTATAATAAGAGGGTTCCCGGTCACCGTCCACGCCGAACTCGGCGAGGACGGTGCAACGAGGAGCTCGGCGAGTAAATTAACCCACAGACAGCTCACTGAGTTTCTCGCCGGATCTTCTCAGTGGGTCGCCTTTCCGATCCGGTAGTAGATTCTGCGAAGCACTGCCCTTGCTAGGGCCAGTGTTAGCAACACCCCCGGTTTGAGCCCCGAAGGCTTACCTAGACGTTAGGGTTACGTTGATATATCCTGTTAAGGCTATCAGCATAGGTAAAAAAGGAAGAAAAAAACTGAAAACCACTGATCAATATTCAAAGCGACTAACGGCAAAATCAGCAGTTAGGAAGTCAATGGGCACCTACAGGTTTTAGCTAATCAAAAACAAAGCAATTAAAAGCTAAATAAAGAAAAAAAAACATACAGAGTGCACATTAAAGGGTTGCCAAAAGAGAAAAATAAAAGTGCAAATTTCAAAAATTAACTATTTTTAATAAACATACTTACTCTTATATTATACATTAATCATTACATATAATAAGTACTCACACTAAGTATGTTACATAAATATTTATTGTTTTTTTTTTAAATATTTATTTAATTAATTATTCATTATGGTGTTCAGTATCTGAAAATGTCAATTGAGAAAGAGTAAAGTAAATATACAAAGGCGCTTGTAAAAAAAACAAAACATTGTTAATCTGAATAGTCATTCCATGTAATGAAGTGTTAGTAAAAAAATAAGGAAAAGAAAACATACAAAAAAAAGACTTAATTTTAAAATGTTATCAAAGATGGCGTGGCGTGCCTATGCGTTTATCCTCTTTTGTGTTTTAAATTTGACAACTGACATTTATATGACTATTATCTGTGGTAAAACGTTTTTTTTTTAATAAGCTCTTAGTCAACGTTATGATGATTTAAATTTAATCTGTGCTTTCGACTTTACCCATGATCGTATGTTTTCAAAGCAATATGATAGGGTCGGGACATTTGTATGTAGGTATTTAAATCTATGTATAATGTATACGCCCCATTATAGATTTTTTTTTATTATGGTTCACAAGAAAATACTCTACTAGATTTGCCCCGCGATTGCAAACGCGTTTTAGTAATTCAGAAAGAATGAGGCACGTTGCATTTTCCCGGAATAAAGAGTTGCTTGTGACTTCTCTGATTCATTAGCTACCTTGTAAGTCAGTGGCTACGTAACGTGAACCCGCAAACAAACTGTCGTATTCACTATTAGTAGATATACATGGCATTGACATGGGTCATGTCCATAATAAAAAGCTCGTGTACCATATTAACCCAAGTTGTTAAATGCAAAGTGGGTAATTTTATTTTGTCTGTTTAATTTTTAATGCTTAGTGCTAAGGTCTCAGTTTTCACAGTACAACGGCTACCCCACCATTCAAACCGAAACGCACTACCGCTTCACGGCAGAAATAGACAGGGCGGTGGTACCTACCCGTGCCGACTCACAAGACGTCCTACCACCAGTAATTACGCAAATTATAATTTTGCGGGTTTGATTTTGTTACACGATGTTATTCCTTCACCGTGAAAGTCAATCGTGGACATTTGTTTAGTACGTATTTCATTAGAAAAATTGGTATCCGCCTGCGGGATTCGAACACCGGTGCATCGCAAGCTACGAATGCACCTAACGTCTTATCCTTTAAGCCACAACGACTTCTCGCATTGCGAGTTTTCGTTAAAATCGAAAGCTATGTGTGGAAGAGAGACGGATATATACAATTAAATTAGAATCACAACGACAGGCTTCTACCCGCACACCCGCAGTTACGCTTGTATAGACTAAGCTTTATATCGCGTGAGCGTGTTCCCGTGTTCAGTGGTGGAATGAAAGGTATTCTTACCAAGGAATCGAACTATTTCCTTATCGAATTTCGTTAAAATCGATCGCGGTTCGGCCGTGAAAGCGTAACAACAGACAAACCGAATTGTAAACAAAGTAAAATTCGATTTTAATAAAATAAAAAAAACTTATACTCTGCTCTAAATTAAATAACATTAGGTAAACCTGTGAAAGTACATGAAAACTCAAATCTCATAGTTTGATCTACGCGAACAAACAAACAAACAAACAGACAGACGGAAAGAAAATAATTATAAAAATCTCTAGTTCACATTCCAATTACGCTCTTTAATTATGCACTTTCTACTTTTTTATTTGCTATTTTCTTCCTGAATAATATAGGTGTATATATATATTTAACACACATTAAATTCTTTAGAACAATACCTCCAGACATGAAAAATAGAACTGCCACCTCACTTCGGTACCTATGAATATTACTTTCAGATAAAATTATCGTACATGCTCAAGATACACCCAATGTAATGATCAGTGATAAAACAACACAATATGTATACAAACACAAATGATATTACGCATGACATCCTTATCAAATGTCTACGATCAGCAAAATACAAAATATTCATATAGCAAATGTATTACAAGAAAAAGCCTAACTAAAGTGCATAAGTGCCGCAAAAAAATCCGAATCGGGAGTACGGGTATCACTTCAAACGTAAACACAACTTCTACTAATCTTTATCAAAAACAAATAAAAATGTTACAAAAAAAAAAATATATATACCAAACTACCCGCATATAACTGTAAAAATAGTAACCGGCAGGTCACTGACCCCGTCGGAGCCTACAGCAGACGAACCACGAAATTGAAAACAAGACTGTGTCTAAAATATTCAATCCAAGCGGAATGGTTTTTACTCAGGGCATCCTCCACGTTAGTAATAGATTAGTAGTGTAATTGTTTTATTGTATATTGTGAATAAAATTATTTCCTTACATAATAAGTTAGATTAGTTTTTTTTATCGTGTTGTTTCGTGGTATAGTTGTAAGGAACATTGTGTACAAATTCAGCACTTTGTCTTGCTTGGTGGTGCGCACATGGCTTATGTTGCAAGCCAGATTTTGTTTCTTTTTACTTGTGTTTTTATGTATCTTTTTAGCTTGTGATGTGTATTGTGTGCCTAATAAATTTTAATAATATAAAAAATAAACAAAAGTGGCTTCGAACGCAACACATGCGTGGTTAGATTTGATGTGATACCGTCCTCGGCTCAAGTATACAACAATCCATCGCGGAAACAAGCTGTACGCTACCAAAACATTCTATTGACTTGATCAATTACCTGGGCCACTGTTTGCTCTCCCAGGGGCACGTCCTCGGTGCGCAGCGCTGCCCGGCTTACGATCGACGTGGGATCAGCATCCAATATCACACTGTAATTACACAAAACAAATTAAATTTTACATATTGTTACGCCGGTAAGAGTAACGCCATCTATCGCCGCACAGCAGAAACGAATATTAAAAGAACTAGTAAAATCGAGAACGCTCGAGAAGTGCAACGCCATCTATTATCAAATAGGGGAAATACACATCGAAACTACTGAATTCAGGAATGTTCTCGATAATTGTAGAGATCTCGTATCGACTATAAAAGCGTTGCAGAGATGACACGAAACCAGATAGTAATCGGTACTACTCGAAGCGAAACAGCGAACGGATAACCTGAAGTGAATTACGAATTGTAATGTTTTCTTTAAGTGTTGTAAGTCAGTTTTAATTTTTACTTCGGTACAAGTTTTTATTTTTCCCGAGCCCCGGCACGTAACAATATTTATTATTATGCACTATGAAAATTTATCGGCCTTTTTTAGTGTGAATTAATTATGCATTATCATTAAGGGATACATGCATTTGTATACCCCATCTTGCTCTGAAGCAAACATGCATTCCAGTTTGTACGGTGAAACAGACTGGACTTTTACTGGTGGTAGGACCTCTTGTGAGTCCGCGCGGGTAGGTAACACCACCCCGCCTATTTCTGCCGTGAAGCAGTAATGCGTTTCGGTTTGAATGGAGGAGCAACCGTTGTAACTATACTAAGACCTTAGAACTTATATCTCAAGGTGGGGGCCGCATTTACGTTGTAGATGTCTATGGGCTCCAGTAACCACGTAACACAAGGTGGACCGTGAGCTCGTTCACCCACTTAAGCAATAAATAAATAAAAAGTTTGAACATTATTATTATGGTTTTGTGGTCACATTTCTATAATCATCATTTATGTTATAATCATCACATCTACAGCGAAAATGACGCCACCTACTTGAGATATAAGTTTAGGGTCTCAGTATAGTTACAACACCGGTCCCACTCTTCAAACCGAAACGCATTACTGCTTCACGGCAGAAATAGGCAGGGCGATAGGGCGGCAATAGGTAGGGTATAATTTAAATTAATTATAGTCGAATTTCGCGTACCGGGCGACCACTAGTAATAATAATTACAACATACCCGCCGTCGCAGATCTCATCGAAGGCAAGCATAACAGCATCCAAGTTCTCCATGAGAACCCTCCGCTCCATGTTCCTTCTCAGCAGCAAACTAACAGACTCGTAGAGCGCATTCAATACTGATTGAAGGATCAACTGAAAAGATAATGTTACTTAGTAATTTATATGCAACTTAAACTTAATACCATGGACCATCATGTTTTAATAAGGGATTTTATGACCTGGTAACTAAGACCTTTAAGTCATGTCTTATTTAACTTATATTCTTATTTTTATGAAAAATGATAATATGGAGTGAAATGAAATGAAATTAAGATGATTAATTTGAGACATTAATCAACTGGGATGAAATTAAATGAAATGATATGGGATGAAATATTCTCAGTAAAATGGTAGTCATTTACTGAGATTTTTTCAGTGGACTTTTTGGAGGATCTCGAGAAGTTACGTACAGCGGCTTTGTTTCATTTTCCCACATTTGTGCACTTTCACAGATATTAAACAGTTAATAAACCACCGTTATTACACATTTAAATCTGAAGAAATACTAAATAGACAAAATAAAACAATTCGCACAACTCCACTCCTCGCGCTCCCGCCAAAAAGTCGACCGTCATGTAGTTCAATGACAAACCTTTAATTTAGAGTAGATGGCTCGCTGGAGTCATGCTCTTATTGCCTACGTAATTAATCTCAACGTATCTAATAAAAGTACAGGATACTGATTGTAGATATTGAAGAGGAAAAAAAAAACATTACAAATCTGCATGTCCAGAGGCAACTAAAGACCTTTTGGCGCTCTTATAAGAAAATTTATCTTCTTTACTAATAACATTCTAGTATCTAAAGCTTTGTGACTGACTTGGTAGTGCACTAGTTAGCGCCTTTGACTATAGGGCTTATAATCGACAGTTCAATCCTTTTATTGGGCAAACATTGTATGATGAACAGGTTTGTCGGTTCATTTTCTGGGTGTTTATCATATGTGTATTTATTTAAACATATTTAAGTATGTTTATCAGTCTCTGGTTTTGTTTTTCTTGATTTTCTTTGTTATTTTTTCCTACCTAATCATTGGTAGCCTAAGGGGCTAACTTCGCGTAGACTGTTAGGTGAACTCACGGGCTCAACCTGGGAGAATTGCTAACACTAGCTGTGGCAAAAGCAGTGCTTCACTGAATCTACTACCGGATCGGAATAGCGGCCCGCTGAGAAGATCCGGCGAGAAACTCAGTGGGTTGGGAATCTCTGGTACCCATAACACAGGGAATGCTAAATTAGAGCAGAATGACTGTGTCATTTGTTTTCAGTAATAAAAAAACTTTATCTTATTTAGTAATCATTTTATATCTATTTATTAACAGAGACTGTGACAATCTTGACTGTGATTTTACGAAGCTTTTTCATGGCTTTTTCATTCTATGATCAAAGACCGATAATAAAACCTGTCGACGTCGCTCTAAGCACGTCATTACGGATCCTCTCGATCCATTAACAGTGCTTTTAGGTACTACAACCACTGGTCACCATCCTCGTCGAACCCGTCGCTTGCGGCGAAGGGCTCGACGAGTGAATTAGCCCATAGACACAGCCCACTGAGTCTCTCGCCGATCTTCTCGCGTGGATCGCGTTTCCGATCCGGTGGTAGATTCTGCGAAGCACTGCCCTTGCTAGGACCAATGTTAGTAACACTTCCAGTTTGAGCCCCGTGAGCTCATCTACATGTTAAGGTGAAGCTGAAATAGCCTCTCAAGGCGTTAGGATAGGTTGGGGAAATAATAATAATAAAACCTAAGACAAAGTTAAAAGTATTGTGGTTATTGTAACAGCTTGACAAAGAAAATTATGGAACACATCATACCTCATTTTCATGTGAGCTTCCCATAACATAGAAGAATAAATCTACGTTACTTTTATAAACACAAGTAAGACCATCCAGCATTATGATTTCTGCATTTGCTCTGTAAACATATATAAAAAAAACTAGTTTTAAAAAATATTTATTAAAATATCCATAATTTTCTTAAAATATTTACAGCATTGTTCCAGTTTAATTATTGTTAACTTAAAATAATTTTTATCTATGAATTATCATGATTGCCCTAAGTTTTTTTCCATACCTATTCTAGTAAACTTGAGGGGTTATACTAGATTATCCAGGTCCCGGGATCTGGACGAGGCCCACAGCACGCAATGATTGCGTGCTGTGGGCCTCGTCTGCGAGGGAGGCTGGACTTCCACCGGGCGCGTCCGTAGGTGGCGGATCACGGGATCCTCTGGGCGACATTCCCAGAGGTATCGTCCGATCTTTTTCGTTGCAAGGATTCTGTGGGTGTAGGTCCTAGGTTTAGGATTAGGTTTAGATGCAGTTTGAAGTCCTAGGTGTAGGATTAGGTATAGGTTTAGGTTTAGGATAGCTTAGTTAGGCTTTGCAACGAAAGAGATCGGATGACGCGGACCAAACCAGCACTAGGAAGAGCGGAAGGACTGCGCCCTCCACACNACCCCGGACGGAGATCGGACGTCGGGTGTAAGAGTGCAGGGGAGTCGTTTAGTGGGTGGGCCCTAAAATCCTTGGGCCCGCGATCTGCTCTCAACACCTGCAGATCGTTGAGTCTCACATACCCCGCGCGCCCCCTAGGCGCGGGGACCTCGTAGGAGGTTCGGCCCCCGGCCCGAAAAAAAAAAAAAAAAAAAAAAAGATTATCCAGGTGAGTAAGTGAGCTCACGGGGCTCAAACTTAATGAGATTACCCTATAACTTTTAATATAAAAAGAAATTATATACTGATTCTACAACATGAGATGGATAGTTAGTTTATGGCTTGTCATTGGTGAGAGTGACATTATAAGAAGTTTTCCAGACAAGCCAAAATATTAATATTCGTTTATATAATTATAATTATATTCCAATTGAGAAATTATGTTAGTTTTAGTGTCATGTAGTTAATATTGACCTGTGAGTCTTATTGAACAAGTTCTTCTCAAATGCCTTCTGCTCCTTAGTTGTGGGTAGGACGTCTTTATCGTAATATTTGGCCAAAATTCTGTTTCCTTCATAGTCCAAAATGCACATCCCTTTGACAATGTACAATGTGGGTTCCTAGAACATGAAAAACATTGAAATTTACATAATGATGTGTGGCAAGCATACAAGTGTACAAATACCTAATACCTTAGTAATACCTAATTTGAAATAAGTATTTTTGCTATCTTTGCTGTGAAAGCAGTATGGGTTCCAATTTGGAGAGTGAGTGATCTGTTATATAATTCAGAAATAAAGATTTCAACCCCATCTCGTGAGGTAGGGCACAGCAATCTTGCTGTTGTCCGTGAGCTCCACCGGTCATTTCCAAATATGTTTTTTTGTAGTCTCTTAATCATTATCCCTAAAGGATCATGTTTCTATCAGACTTAAAATTTAGAGCATAATTTATTCAAGGTCCTAAAAGTGAAGAATTCTAAATGTTAATAACATTTCTATAATCAGACTACCTTATAATAACGAGATTTTTATTTAAAAAAGGGACATGTTTGTTGACAGATTCACTCTAGTTTTTACGATCAGCAGACCAATACAAAGTATAACAGTATTTTAAGGTGTAAGGATTATTAGTTTTTTTTTTTTATTGCCTTTGTAGGCAGACGAGCATATGGCCCACCTGATGGTGAGTGGTTACCGTCGCCCATGGACTTCAGCAATGCCAGGGGCAGAGCCTAGCCGCTGCCTACCGCTAGTTGTGAAGTGATTGTTAATTAACTCTGATGCATTGTTTGCTTTAACGTTTGCTGATTACAGATTTGATAGTTATCAAGTATACATTCCTCTAGCATTGCCTGTACTATATTCTGCCTCCTAAATATTCGCTAGTAGCCTAGAGGGCTATTCGAGCTACGCCCAGACGTGTAAGTGGCACAATTTTTTTTTTTTTTTCCGGGCCGAGGGCCGAACCTCCTACGAGGTCCCCGCGCCTAGGGGGCGCGCGGGGTATGTGAGACTCAACGATCTGCAGGTGTTGAGAGCAGACCGCGGGCCCAAGGAATTTAGGGCCCACCCACTAAACGACTCCCCTGCACTCTTACACCCGGCGTCCGATCTCCGTCCGGGGTCAAAACCCGGNTTTTTCCGGGCCGAGGGCCGAACCTCCTACGAGGTCCCCGCGCCTAGGGGGCGCGCGGGGTATGTGAGACTCAACGATCTGCAGGTGTTGAGAGCAGACCGCGGGCCCAAGGAATTTAGGGCCCACCCACTAAACGACTCCCCTGCACTCTTACACCCGGCGTCCGATCTCCGTCCGGGGTCAAAACCCGGTCAGAGTAGGGGGGTTGCGTGAGTGAGCACACTGGCTCAACCTGAGAGAATTTGCTAACGCTAGTGTTGGATGGTTAAATTTGAGGGATTGGGTTCTGTAGGTTGATGAGGGGCTATTTAAAAACACACTACTTCATTATAATGATATTGCAGATAGCTTAAACATTTTTATACCATTATAAAATTATTATCTTTATATTTTTTATAAAACTCTTACATGTTGTTCTGACCGTGTCTAGATGAGAAGTACGACTTTTTCTTAGGAGAATACAATCATCTGTTTTTTAAATATTTAAAATAATTCTAATATTCGAAGTCTGTAATCATGTGTCAAGTGTTGCCTGCCATTACATTTATATTCAAACTCCAACAACTAGCCCTAGTAAGAGCAGTGCTACACAGAATCTACCACCGGATAGGGAACGCGACCCACTGAGAAGATCCGGTGAGAAACCGTGGGTTGCATTTATGGGTGTACTAACACGTTGTGTATTAACTACTAAAAGATACAGGTATCACTATTCTTCTATCTTGTGTTTTGGTTGAAATGTTTTTAAAGTGCAAAATAAATCTGTTTGAAGTTAGAAAATCACTTACGAACAGAGAACCTTCCATCGTTGTGTGAACCATTGTGTGGGTTAATAATTTTTCACTGTATTATTATTTTAAAGAATTAAAAATTCCACATTAATTAACCAACGGCGACAAACCATAGACCTATTAGGTTTCCTACTTCATTGCGACAAACTCATCCGCGTTGACGTGTTTAAGTTTGACATCTGAACATCTGGAAATATTCACATTTTGTCAACTTGGAAAGGCAAAGGGAAGCTACAAAATCTTTTGAATTGTTGGGTCGACAAGTTGGGTTTTTTATGGAAAAAGTAATATGAAATGAAATCTTGTCACATACTCATTATTATATAAAAGAGAGAAGTATTTAATAAGTGAATCGCCAAATTATACCTACATTGTTGCGCATGTGAGATTGAATGATTTGGGTAAGTTGTTTCTAATAACTTTGTATCAATTTGTTTTTAAATTATTTATAAGAAATTAACGTAGTAAAAATTTAATAATCTAAGGAAATTATTATTTTCGTAATTTGTTAAGATTGTGCGTTAATATTCATTTTCAAATTGAGAATTGTGAATTGTTTATGACACTGGGAAATTAAGTAAGTTATGTACATAGAACAACATCTTTTTATTTTACGAATCTATTTTATTTCCGTACAAAAATATATTTTCAATTAAAATTCTGAACACAACCAAATATGTTTAAAAGATGATAAGTACTATAGACAAATTTAGTGATTCTAAACGATTTTTTTGTCATAGAGATATATTAAAAATAGCAGAAAGAGCCATCTAGTGAGTTCCATGGAGACTATATTTGAGCGCAGTGACATCTTTGACGTAAGGTAAAACTTTACTGAATAACACAACATTACCAAAAGCTGTGAAAAGCTGTATAGGTTTAAGTAAATGTGTACATTTAAAACGCTGACGTTGCAGAGCATTCGCTGGCTTGTGTATGTTTATCGACTATTGATATCCCTACTCATCTACTACTAGTACTACTACTGCTATGGGTTGTAGTAGTAAAGATACCGATTGTAAATTGGGTATGGAGTTCCAAGCCCACAAAGAGTTAACCCACTGAGTTTCTTGGGTCTTGGGTCTTTCTCTTCTTCGGGTCTTTTCAGTGGATCCCTATTCCGATCCAAGTTTCTGCGAAACGCTAATCTTGCTAGGGCTATTGTTAGCACATACTCTCAGGTTGAGCCCGTGAGCTCACCCGAGCTTATGTGAGCATAACGATCACTTCTTTTACAGCCTACAACGAGGGCTCTATTGGAGGATGGGGAGTCTATTGTCAATTAATTAGTGTAGGTATTTGATACATTTGATGGGTCTATTTATGATGGTGTTATTACGAATTGCTTAACTAATTTTCTTTGTCGTAGCACTCTTGTCAGAGCGGTCTGTGGTCGTCAGTCAGTATCATTGTCGTGGGCAGAATGTATGAGCCTCACAAATAATACCACTCCTTCCAGTTTGTGGTACACACATGTAAATAAATGCCAACTGCCGACTTCACTTAATCGGTCCATTGCATGAGCTACCTTCCACGCGGTCAGGTGCCTTTTTCTTTGTCCTAAACGCCAAGGTGCTCTATGATGTCATTTCCCCACCGGAAAAATTGGAAGCTATAATTTCTGTAAACGCCTGTATTAATATGTTAGCAATAAAAATGTTGCTGGCACATTTTATCAAGGAGTTTGCGTTACTTTATATGACTTCGTCGGTTATGTGTTTATAATATTACCAGCTGTTACTTGCGACTTTGCCCGTACAGTCAACGACAAGTCACAGTGTAGTTTTCCGCGGTTAGGAGATATTTTTCGGGATAAAGTATGGGATAGGATAGATACTTTCAGATCATGTCAATTCGTTGCTTCGATTAGACGTGTAAGATGCACAAACAAACACACTTCAACATTAAAATTTATAATATTATCTATGGATTTAATAAAGTATTAGATAAGGTTGTAACTCACTAGAACTACACAGACGCAATACTAATGTCTCAGACAGATAAGACGTCCGATGCGTTCGTGTTGAGCGATGCACCGGTTTTCGAATCTCAGGCGGGTATAAATTTTTCTAATGAAATACATACTCAACAATTAATGTTCACGATTGACTTCCACGGTGTAATAAAAATGGTACCCGCAAAATTATAATTTGCGTCATTACTGGTGGTAGGACCACTTGTGAGTCCGCGCGGGTGGGTACCACCACCCTGCCTATTTCTGCCGTGAAGCAGTAATGCGTTTCGGTTGGAAGGGCGGGGCAGCTGTTGTAACTATACTTGAGACTTTAGAACTTATATCTCAAGGTGGGTGGCGCATTTACGTCGTAAATGTCTATGGGCTCCAGTAACCACTTAGCACCAGGTGGGCTGTGAGCTCGTCCACCCATCTAGCATTAAAAAAAAGACTGAAACTACGCACCTTCAAACAAGACGAGAGCTCTCATGAGCATCACTGTCTGCTCGCGACAAACAGCATTTCTAAGTTGTTAATTTAATGAAATTCGACATCCAACGCTTGTTTCAAGATGGATGGCGTTCTTTTTTCTGAGTGTCTATGAATTCATTGGCCTGTATACATTTTTTTTATTGAAGAACAAATACAGATTGACAAAGGAGATCCGAGTTTCGCAGTCGAAACAATTAGCGTGATAATTAAATGCTTTATGTGTAACGATCTATAATATGCGGGTGGTCAGTACGTGGTCATTACAAACGGCAGACAGATCGAAGAAGCCTTGGAGGAACCGCAATAATTAAATCTAATAACAACGATCGACAACGTTTTGTCTTACCGACACGTAACAGGTAAAAATGTGAATGATTTTTTTTTCTTCATAAAAGCCTCTTCCCGCCGAAAAGAGCACGCGATCGGCCGGCGCCATGTTTTGTTGTTTTTTTTTCTTCGTTTGCGGTCGTAAGGCATAGGATACAGCCGCAAGGCGAAAGCAGTCAGTCAAAAGTCACGCTTAAGAATAAANTTTTTTTTTCTTCATAAAAGCCTCTTCCCGCCGAAAAGAGCACGCGATCGGCCGGCGCCATGTTTTGTTGTTTTTTTTTCTTCGTTTGCGGTCGTAAGGCATAGGATACAGCCGCAAGGCGAAAGCAGTCAGTCAAAAGTCACGCTCAAGAATAAAAAAAAAAAATAGAAAAGGGTCGTGAATGATACAGTTTTTTCGGTAAATTAGAGATTTGGAGCAAAGGATTTTTTTTTATATTTCAAATTGCGTGCCGGTCCCTGTGTAATAACACGTCTGTGTTTCGTGGTACCGAAAGACCATTGCTTCAATCGTGGTTGGTTTTTTTTTTTTTCTAGAATCGCAAACTTAAAATTCTTTCTTGCATCCATTTACTGACTAACTTAAACTTTATGGAATTTATCTAATAGTACATGTGTAAAATTTTACATTTGTCACTTTCATATTATGTGAATAAAGTATTATAAAATTAATTCACAAACAGTAAGGAGTTACAAATACTGTTTGGTTACCAATAAATAGATCGCAGAAAAAAAGAAAAAAAAGCATGATTTTCTTGCAACCACAACTGGCTATCTATCATGCATTTGATATAAGCAGGGCAGGAACGTACATAATACAAAAGAATATGTTAATTTGAAATTACGCGATTGTTACCAATAATGAAAATAAATATTTATTCAATTCATTATTGGAGTCAAATTCGGAGCAAAAATTACAAATGCACATCCGCTATGGAACGAATAGTTTCAATTTAAATAAATAAAATAAAAAACAGATACAGTAATAAAATAATATGTTTCTATGAGGATTGTTCCGGTGAATTATTTTTGATGACGCCAACATTTTCTTAACCTCATCGCCGCCGACGCCATGTTTGATAATAACGTGTTTTTTTGTTTTGTTTGTTTTATTGTTGTCGTTTTACGCGAATCGCCTTTGTGCTTAAACGACTTTAAAGTTCTCAATGATAGACAGTGGCTTTGGTTTGCGAGCTTTCGGGCTCCATCAGTGCCGACAAGGCACCGTCTGAACGGTATCGCCTGAGGCGAAGCGGCGCGTGTACAAACTTTAAGGGCAACATTGTTCTATTAAAAAAAAAACTAAAAATCTAAAAAAAAAACGATATATAATTACAGTAATTACGGATTACGTATTCCAGGGGTCCATTTGTAACTGTAGCCAGTAGAATTCGATAAAGAATGAGCATTTTTTTATTATTATCTGAAATGTTTTTTATTTGTGTTGTAGAACTATGAGGTAAAGATTCTCTGTGGATGATAAAATGTAAATCGAAAAGCGACCGACAGGGCGGCGCTACTGTAGCAAGTTGCGTAATATTTAAAGATCGCGCCAAAAGTTATTACGTATTTATTGTGTACTAGCGACCCGCCCTCGCTTCGCTTCGGAAACTGTAATTTATTATTGATTTCTCCACTATTTAATGCATGTTATTATACATATAAAACTTCCTCTTCAATCACTCTATCTTTTAAAAAATCCGCATCAAAATCCGTTGCGTAGCTTTAAAGATTTAAGCATACATAGGGGATATAGGGACAGAGAAAGCGACTTTGTTTTATACTATGTAGTGATTTAAATTGTTCAACTCAGAGCACGCCCACTGAGTATCTTGCCGGATCTTCTCAGTGGGTTGCGATTTCGATCCGGTGGTAGATTCAGCGAAACACTGCCCTTACTGCTAGCAAATTCTCTACTACCTACTATGCCATCATCTGATGGCGGAAGTAATGATATTATCAGATTATTCTTAAGAAATCAGTACTAAATTCAATAATTAATTTCACGCGTTTTGGGCGCTTGAAATATTTTAAAGGGTGCTTTTAAATTTTTACATTTTGGCATTGTAACAAACAGGCGATCCAATTTTGGTAAATCTTGTTTCTCTTACATCAAAATTAAATAGTTGCCTTGTAAGCTAGATAAAAAATTAGCATTGTAAACAATTTTATTGCAAACAGCGCCATCTATTGAAATTTGTGTAATCTACTTTCTAGGAGTCTTTATAGAGAATACCGTAATTAAATCGCATACATAAATAGTTCTGGAATAAGAATATTCGTCGCAATACATACTTTTTTAAATTAGTTATTTATATTTAGTGTTCCTAAATTAAAATTATATATTTTTTTTGGAAAGGACACGTCGCCAAATATTGAGCGTAATTAAAT